GATTGAAAATGGGTAAAATCGCCTATGCGTAAAAATCACTGACACAGCAAAATTCGTGAGAGCGTAATTTCGTCAATTTTTTTTTATCAAATTTCGTACTTTTTATTTTATTACCTCCAGAAAATATTCTCTACTATTTTTTTTTTTTTGGGGGGGGGGGAGAATTTTTGAACCCTATCGGGAATTTTCGGACTGGGCGTCTGAACCCTCAGTGACACAGAAGCAAAAAATAAATGCAATAATACTTGAAGATTAACATATTCAATTGATAGTATTATGTATTAGTGATAATAATTCAAATGGTAGGTAAATGAACACAGATGTAACTAATGTGACATTTAATTGTGACAACGTTTCGCTCTCCAGGAGCTTTGTCAAGCTTCTGGAAAGCGAAACGTTGCCACAATAAACTTTAACATTAGTTGCATCTGTATCTATACCTTAATATTTCTTAGACAATCCTACCATTATTAATATTTCAGATGACAGTGTGCCAGTGGGTTTAGTTCAGTCGGTAGTCACTTTAATATATTTATTATATACCTCATACTCATCCTGGGTCCAGGAGCTGGACCGTAGTAATAACTGAAGTTATAGTATACTAGTGTGAATAGCTAAAATGATATCGTTATAGGAAGAATTGTTTGGCAAGTGATGTTTGATTTATTATAGTCACGAGAAGCGCTGAACCTGGAGAAGGTTTTACGGGGATGTTCTTCGTGTTAGTGAATATTACAGTCGTTGTCTGACGCAAATACCTGGCGTCTTGCAAAAATAACTGAAGACAGTGTCAGACATAGCACAACAGCTGTCACTCACTTATTGTAGTCGGTGAAGACAACATCAGACATGCTACAGTGGTAGTTATTCACATAGAGTTGTGTACATAAAACTTGTTTCGTCTTAAATAAGGCGAATTAAAGTTCACCAAAAAAAAAAAAAGGATATTTTCGTAAATCTGTTTATTGTCAAATGAACCAGAGAACAGTTTCTAAATCTGCAGATACTATAACAACTTACTAGAGTGAGAGATACAAGAAAAAGTGGGGATTAACACAATGTAGGGCAGGGAGCCCTTGGGCAGAAGAAGAGAATGAAGTGTGTACAGCTGTGACGCAAGACTTTAACCGGCTAATAGCAGATATCAGAAATATTGCTGGACACAATGTAGAAGTTTTAAAGAGGATCCTGGATCACTACTTTCTTCAGTGCCGGTTCATCCAGGTTATAATTGATATGTGGAGCAACGGGATACCAGCACCAACAGCTGATTTGACAATGAACTTAACAAGGAAGCCTCGAGTTGGCAGAAGAACACTGGAAACACAGCAATGTCATACAAATATACTGGAGAGATTGGAGGTGTTTTCTGCTCTGAGTCAGGGAAAGTTAGGGACGAAACCAGCTCTGAACCTTTTAATCAAGGGCTCTTCACATATGACAAGGAACCTCCCTTGATGGAGGGGCGGGGTTTAAGTGGTCAATAAACCTCCAAGATGAATAACCTTCTTGCACACATGCCATGAAATAGGAATTTATCCGAGCCATACAAAATATAAAAAAAAATAAATTACTCCGAGGTTCTTAGGATTTTGTAGAACATGTCATGATAATGATGGCTGTCACTCACATGAATTATATATTTTATGCATTTTTCGAGAAAGAAGTGTGTGTTTTTTTGCGAGAGAATATTTGTGTGCACATGAAAGTGTTCGTGTGAGTACGTGTGTGCGTATATATTTATCGAATTGTACTTGCACGGATCCAGTTGCAACTACGGACAGTGTTTTCTCAGTTTCAGTCAACCTGGCAGTGTCCTCAGTGCTTCTTTGTGCTTGTCACAATCTATCCTTCAAAAAGTTGTATTTGGAGTAGCCAACCATCACGATGCTCGTTCCAATTTTATATATTTTTCAGTTATATATCTTGATGTTCCTGCAAATCGTCTAGGTTTTAGCTCCGTTTGTATATTTTTTTCTTATTTCTCATTTCAATGCGTTTCTTTATTGACCTTCTTTATGCTCAGAACCTAACCTAACCTAAACTAACTCCATTATCAAATTATACTTCTGATAATATCAGATACAATTGATTCTAATAATTTGCATGCTATAGATATCAAGCTTATTGGACGGTAATTTGATAGAATGGGCTTATCCCCTGATTTAAATATAGGAATTACATTAGCCATCTTCCACATCTCTGGCACAACACCAGTTTGGACGGAAGCAATATACACGCTCGTTAGTAGGTAAGACACATAGGCAACAGTTAGGCAACTTTATTCCGAAACGTTTCGCCTACACAGTAGGCTTCTTCAGTCGAATACAGAAAGTAGGCAGGAACAGTAGAGATGTGAAGACGATGTAATCAGTCCATCACCCTTGAAGTCGTAAAATTTGAGGTTGTCAGTCCCTCAGCCTGGAGAAGTTCAGTTCCATAGTCCGGAACTATCTGAAGATCAAGCGACAGTGTCGGAGACTTTTAAATACTTGTTCGGAAGGAGATGGTGCAGAGATAGTAGTAGTAGTGAGATTGTAGCCACTGAGAGGTCATGTCCCTCTCAGATCCAACAATTCTCACTTGAAAAGGTTGTCCAAGGTGTTTTCTGAACCAAGATGCCATGTGTTACAGTATTGTTTACCATTTTGATGTTCACGCTCGTTAGTGCCTGACTAAGTTCCAACTTGCATTCTTTAATTACCCTTGAAAATAATTTGTCGGGCACGGGGACTTATTTTGTTTCAGTTTATCTACCTGTGTGATAATCATTTAGCTCGTGACAGTAATATTACTTAATTTGTATTCTTCAGGAACTGAATAATTAATGCTTTAGGTAGATGTCGTTTTGATAAGGACCTGCCTCGTATGGGCCAGTAGGCCTTCTGCAGTGTTCCTACATTCTTATGTTCTTATGTTCTTATATAATTTATGTTTTCTTGTGTAAAGACTGACAGTAAACAACCATTAAATAGAGAACACATTTTTTGTTCATTATCAGTCAGCTTTCCATCCCCAGTTCTCAGCAGTCCAACTTTTTCCTTCATCTTCGTCCTATACACTTGAAAGAACCGTTTTGAATTGGTCTGTGATTCAATATTAACCTTAATTTCATAGTCGCATTTAGCCTATTTAATGCCATTTTTTTTTTTACTTCTCTTTTACAGTGAACTTATTGGCCAATAAGGTTAACCTCTCATCTTTTGATGCGCCTATAAATTCCTCTTTTCTCTCCTAATAGATGCGTTAGTCTCCCACTCATTCATTTGGGATCATTCTTATATTACATGGTTTCTCTCCGGGGAATATATACTCTGAGCATGTTGCACATTATTAAGGAAACAGTCATAAATGCAGATCCCTTCATTATCATATGAACACCCTCAATAAAATTATTATCTAGATAACCCCAGTCGAGATTAAACAGGTGTTCACTAAGTCCATTATAATCTGCAGGTCGAAACTCCGGGACTTTTACTGTATTATCCTTATTCTCGCACTCCTATGTAATATTAAAAGTAATAAAAGGAGTTTGGATTGTAATTCGGATATTTAGGAAACAATTAGCCAATAATACGTTTTCATGGTTGTATGTTAATTTTATATTCGAAATACTGTTGGATTACATGTCGAACATTTAGCACTAATGTATTTTCCTCTCAATGGAAGCTGAGCACTGATTTTACGTTAAGTTTTAATTTACCATTTTGATTAAAAATGTTGGTTTCCATCCAGCTACTGGAGAATGCTTCTTCTGGTCAGCTTCAAACCCCTAATACTGGGTTGTATGGGTCTTACTTTCCTTGTTTTATTAAAGAAATTTGGAAAATTTTTAATACAAATTTCCATGTGATAATTTGTGAATGCTTCTTTCGAGTGGCATCAAACCTTCAACACTAATAACTTCAGAACGCAGCTTTTGAGCGGGATCAAACTTAAAGTGAATATGTATTTGGGGATTTCGGTCCACAACATAACTGCGATAACTGGAGAATTGTTTATTTTTAATGGGCCTTAAACTGATGATTCTTAGTGGAAAAATTGAGTTACTTTGGGATGGGTTGGGGACTGTTTTTTTTTGTTTTTACTGAAGAAATTGAAATATTAATTTCTATTTGATGACTTGTGGACTCCTTTTCTGATTAGCTTCAGATCATCAACATTCATATAGGACTTTATTTGATGTTTACACTGCGCTCTGTGCTAATATTTCTTTTCGGTGTATTGGAATAGTTAGGAATAGGCTTACAGGATACAGGGATACCTATCTCAGACACCTGAATACCTGAAGGATACCTGAAGGGCGTTATATGGGATCAATGATCCTGCAGCTCAGTCCCAGACCAGGCCTTCTGGAGGATCAAGGCCTGATCAACCAGGCTATTATGTTGGCCGCTCGCAATCCAACGCGTGAGCCACAGCCTAGTTGATCCAGCATTGATTTAAGGAATTTCTCCAGTTCTCTCTTGAAGACCGCCAAAGGCTTGTTGGTATTTCCCCATATGCACGGAGGGAGGGAGGGAGAAAGGGAGGGAGGGAAGGAGGGAGGGAGGGAGGGAGGGAGGGAGAAAGGGAGGGAGGGAAGGAGAGGGACCTCTGACACTCGTCCTGTTCTTGCTTTTTATTGGGGGTATTTTGCACCTTTTGCCAAGTCTCTCGTTGTCATACGGAGTAATTTCGGTGTTCAAGACTGGAAACGGCGTTTCCAGTATTTTTTCCAGGTGTAAATTATTAAGTACTTTTCTTGCATCCCAAGGAATACAGCTGAAGGGACTTCAAGCGTTCTCAGTGGTTCAGATGCTTGACTGAGTGTATAAGAGCAGTGAAAGTATTGCATCTCAGCATCCTCGCCTGCCATCAGTATTTCCAGCTTGGAGAGAACAAGCGACTTAGAGAATATCATCATGGGCTATACATCTCTTGTCTTCAGAGCTCTAGTTATCCAGATCGCATCTGGTTTTTATGTGAATTAACTATCCACAATGTAGTTTAATACTCACGGTTCTGTTGCCAATCTTGTTGACTCTGCAGTTGAGTTTGGCTGGCTGGTCGACCAGAGCGGTGACATTGGCAGAGCGCTCCACATCATAGAAGGGCCCCGGTGGCAACACGTCGATGAAGGGTGGCAGGGAGTTGTACTGGTGCTGCTGCTGGTGGCTGCCAGACTCCTCATCCAGGATGGTGCAACACGCTGCCACAGAAGATGCAATCATTATCATGGCACACAAAATAAGTTCAATTACAGATACATGTGTAGAATGTTCGCTGATCACTGAATGTTTTGGGGGGTTATCCTAGGTAATTTACACTTATGTTACTATGTATGATAATTTGTGTACATGTGTTTATGTGTATCTGGACCTAAATAAACTTACTTATTAATCGTGTTAGATGGATTATTACTTCTATGACATTTTATTTTCATGTATTATACTAGGAGCAAGCTTCCAGGTTTGACATCTAAGTCGTTTTAATAATAAGGAATATCTTGTCGCATTCATCTGAGTGCTTCCAGAAGATATTTGCGAAAAAAATTAGTGTGATCTATAGGGATTTTGATAGCCTTTCTCCCCAATGTGGTGGGTTACGTGATATTTAAATTAAGGTAATAACTATAGGTAATTTGAAATTACCTAGCGTCATTTGACGCCAGTATATAAACACCAATATTCCTGCCTGTGCTTCACTATGACTACGATGCTCATCACCTGCTACTAGGTTGAAGGACTGCTTTACCTCACGTCACATTATGGTCTTGTATTGTACTGATAAACTAACTGATGACGAAACGTCTACAAATTAAATGTACCCAGATGCTGCACGTGTCTAATTCTTCATCTTGTCGGTATTTGGCATACAATATATATGCAGTATGATCCATATATATAATATATAATATATATATATATTATATATATAATATATTTTAAATTAATATATATATAAATAATCTATATATATAACACTATATATATAATATATAAAATATATATATATGCTAGGTAGTGGGTTGTAAACAGCAACCACCCAGGGAAGTACTACCGTCCTGCCAAGTGAGTGTAAAATAAAAACGGAAGCCTGTAATTGTTTTACAATGATGGTAGGATTGCTGTGTCTTTTTTTCTGTCTCATAAACATGCAAGATTTCAGGTACGTCTTATACTTCTACTGACACTTAGGTCACACTACACAACATGTCAAACATATATGTACACACCCATCCTGGGTTTTTCTTTCTATTTTCTTTCTAAGTTCTTTGTTTATTTCCTCTGTATCTCCATGGTGAAGTGGAACAGAATTATCTTCCTCCGTAAAGTCCCATGCGTGTTGTATGAGGCACTAAAATCCGGAGCAAGTGCTATAACCCCTTTCTCCTGTATATATTATAAATGTAAAAGGAAAGCTTTCATTTTTTTCCTTTGGGGGGGCCACCCCACCTTGTGGATACGGCCGGTTTGTTTGAAAGAAGGAAGCATATATAATATATATATATATATATATATATATATAATATATATATATATATATATATATAAAATATATAATATAAATATCATATATATATCTAATATATATAATATAATAAATATATATATAATATATATATAATATATTTATATATATATATATATATATATATATATATATATATATATTATATAGATGCAAGGAATTCGCGAGAGCATGCGAAATATACACAGAACACTGATCTCTGGCTGAAGGAGACTCGAAACCTATGAACCTTAGAACAAGGTACGCAGTGGTATACCAAACTCACCACACTGGACCAATACCTTGGAGTCCAGCTTGCGCTAGACTTTGATCCAAGGCAGCCAGCTTCCAGATAACCCAGGGTGAGAGGGTTACCGTCCCAGGATAACCCACCGGTAGGGAGGGTTAAGCCCCCAAGAAAAATCCCAGGGTAGGAAGGGTTAACGACATCAAAGTCGTAACAGCCACCCAGGTTAACCCAGGGTAGGGAGGGTTAGCGACCCAAGATAACCCAGGGTAGGGAGGGTTAGCCACCCAAGATAACCCAGGGTAGGGAGGATTAGCTATCCAGGATAATCGTGGGTAGAGAGGGCCATCGAGGTCTGTCCGTGTTATTTCCAATGGGTCATTCACTCTTGTCTCCCCCAGGATGCCACCCACACCAGTCCACTAATACCCAGGTTACCTACTTACTGTTAGGTGAACAGTAACAGCAGTTACTAGTGACTAGCACCGAAGTACCTACTTCTAGGTGAATAGTGACATCAGATGTAAGGTGACTAACATCCAGGTACCTATTTCTAGGTGACTGGGGGCAACAGGTGTAAAGGGACTAACATCCAGGAACCTGCTTACTGCTATGTGAACAGGGGCTGCAGGTGTAAGGTGATTAACATCCTGGTACCTACTTCTAGGTGAACTGTGATAGCAGATGTAAGGTGACTAACACCCAGGTACCTATTTACTCAAAGGTGAATAGGGACACAGGTATAATGTGACTGACATCCAGGCACCTACTTAAGGTGAACAGTGACAGCAGGTGTAAGGAGACTAAGACCCAAGTACTTAATTACTGCTAGGTGAACGGGACAGCAGGTGTGAAGTGACTAACACCAAGGTACCTACTTGCTTGGTAAGTGAACGGGACAATAGGTGTAAGGCGTGTTTCCACCCGTGCCAGGGATCGAATCACGGACATTTAGTGTGTGAGGGTGAGGACACTGTATAGTACAGATCCTCCCCGACTTCTGACCTATGCGACTTATGTACATCCGCACATACAACCAAAAAAAATTACAGTGATGAAAGAATGAGTAACAAGAACATTGACAGGCCTAACCAAGGCTACATTCCATACAGCAGTTCTATTTGTGAAGTCTATCAAGTAATGGATCTTTAGGTAATTAAGCAGGTTGATAAAAAAAAGACAGTCATAACAGAAGTTTATTAGGCTAAGAGAATGTTGTACAGGTATACCACCTGTACACATCATGTTAACATGATTCCCACATCCATCCATTTCCAGATCCCTCCGGTCCGTCGGAACGAAACTCGGGACATAAGTCACGGAGGGTCTGTAATTTCCTGCATGAAATGAACTGCTGTTAACGTTTTAGGTTCTAGTCCTAAAAATCTTTATTACTGTCAGTATACAGGCTAGCCTTCGGGATATTTAGCACTGATCAACCAGCCTATTAACTTTGGTACGTAATACTTATATGTGACTGTCTTCATCTGCTGCACCTGACCACCTCCTCCACTTGCTCCAGTACAAAAACCTATTACCAAGTCTTTACATTAGATTCACCAAGGCTAACAGATGGAATACTTTAAAATTACACAACCATTAAGAGGCACGTAAGTTCCACCGTCTTCTAATAACATGTTAAATTCTCCACTAGAATCTACCTTGTCCATAATTACTATCGCATTTGCTTTGTCTGTTTCGTAAGGTGAAGTCCAGGATCTTTCCTTAATTCATGGTATAACTTAACAAATCTTAAAGGACAACTGTGTTATAGAGGACCTCTAGAGGACCATTACAATACAATTGTGTTTTAGAAGTCCGAGCGGAGCTCAGACATCTATAACACAATCGTCCTTAAAGATTTGTTAAGTAACACCATGAGTTAAGGAAAGATCCTAGTCTTCACCTTACGAAACAGACAAAACAATTGTGTTAGTAATATGGACAAGGTAGATTATAGTGGAAAAATGAACATGTTATTAGAAGACGGAGGAACATACATGCCCATGAAGCAAGCCTCACCCACCATGATGTAAACATCGTTACTGTTCCATCTTTCTATTAGTTTCACCACATGTCTCAGAATTATACTGAAAAAAACCTACTGGGCAAGGAAACCTCTTCCCATAAAAGATTATAAAATGTTGCATATGTTTCTTTTTCATAAAGGCGAAGCTTACTGTACATGACTGTAGTTGCTATTCAGCAGTCAGTCAGAGACATGATAAGTATTTCTGAGCTGCCCAATTTGAAAAATATTTTCCTCCATGTTTTCCCCAGTGCATCATTTTCTCTCGTGTCTTTGATGTCGCTCTCAGATGGGAGGATTTGTCGTCACGTTGACAACCATGATGGTCACCAATGATGGCGCAGCCTGACATCATGTTAAATAAACTTGCTGCTCCCCTTCCAAGTTTAGGAAAAAAAAAAAAAAAACTCACTGACTAAAACACTTAAAGAACACCGTTTTTTTTTCACTTTTGTTTTAAAAATGTACCAATACTACAATATGTGATGACCAGTAAGATATATTGTGTTCAGGGCCACAACCAACCCGGGACCCGGGAATACACACATTATCGGGCCCATTGTTTTCACAATCAGAAAAAAAAGTGTACAACATTTGTGTGGTCCGAAGTGTAGACAGATAAATAAAAAGATATCGTCAATGTTCGTCATATTTATTTTTTAATTGAAACAAAAAATAAAATGCAACAAATTTTCGAAATTATATTATTCACAACATTTAAATACAAAAGTTTTGGACTCGCAGATTTAAAGGCAAAATATGAAACTAATAATATGCTAACAGTGTATATAATATCTTTATTTCTACAAGTACATGTACAAGGTATACAGTCCTAGCTGACATCACTGACATACTACTATATAGAAAGCCACTTGTTATGCTGAGCATTTCGGGCAAATTTGGTCAGTTTTGTCCCAGGATGCGACCCACACCAGTCAACTAACACCCAGGTACCCATTTTTACTGATGGTGAACATGGACAATCGGGGTGAGGAAACCCATCGCCGCGAATCGAACACGGACTTGCACCATGTGAAGCGAAAATTTATGTCACCAGGTCACGGGGCACCGTGGCATGAATTATAAAATGGTTACCTTAGAAGACCTGAAATTCGTAACATGAAAAATATTACAAAGAAACATGACAATAACAGATTAACAAACAGTTTCATATAAATAGAGCTTGAGTTTATATTTAAAGTGCATTTTTCACACTTTAGGCCACTAAGCAAATCAATAATGCAATTAAAATGAGTTTTCTCGCCAAACGAACTTCCACTACCGGACATGAAACTGTTAAGTCGACTGACACTCATTTAAATCCCATCCTGTGAAGGAAGAGCTGTGCTTCTGCATCCACCATCCTCTAGTAGGCACGACTCCAGGTAACAACACTGCCTTTCCTCTAGTAGGTACGACTCCA